GATCGCCGAATAAGACATTTTCGCGACAATAGGACACTATCTGCGAGTCGACGAGTGGTTCTTCGGCCGCAAAGTACTGACAGACGAGCACTTGGATGCCGGCGCGACATACCCTCGACTCCACGTTCAGGTGATTCATCGTAAGCGTGAACTTACAGCTCAGACACTGGTCTACCGGTCCTATCACTTGATGGCAATGATTCAGCGCTTGATGTCCGTCACTCTTGCGGTCAAACAGACCGGGAAGTCGTGCCGACTTTGACTGGTCGTCGAAATCCCATACAATGGCATCGCTATCAGACACACCATCACTCGCGACACCACTATCATCGCCACCGCCACTATCCGTAGGTTTACCATCGAAATCAAACTTAAGACTCAATAAACTGAAGTGTGTTTTAGACGCCACACCGATGTAGTGATCAACTAATGACACTCTTGTGGCGAACCACTGGAGCCTTATATCCAACAGCAATACGAAGTCACTTCTGGTGATAGTGTCCGACATCCTCAGCCTCTCATAGCTGAATAACAAGACTTTAAACCCGCAGCAAACACTCAGATTACCACTCCGTTCGCAGCAACTGATCCATTGGCTATCGCTTCCGATGGCGGCGTCCATCAAATCAATCACTTCGGCACACATTATCTCACGCGCCGTACCATCGCTGGCGGCCCTACTGGCCATCAATTGGCCATTGGGTCTGATTCTGACCGCCTGCCCATCGATCCAATAGTTACAGTACACCCGAACAGATTTCGCGTGGATCTCCTTGCGGTGATTGTCGGCCATAATCGCCAAATAGTTGCCATAATGCGAGTGAATCACGTGCCGGACATTCGTGTCGATCAGCGGTATTGTGATAATAGGGGACATCTGTTCCGATATCACCGACAGGTCGTAGATCCGGATGACGGCCGCCGACTCGTACACCACCACCAACTGGTCCTGACTGATGGCACACATGTATGTGGGCTTACCATCGCTGACGAAGACTTCTTGGGAGCGGAAGTTATAGCCGTTTGCGTCCATTATCTCCATCGGCGGTCCATTGATGCCGTGTTTGAGACAATCAGTGGTTTTGTTTTGGTGTTTGTGTTGACACTAGTGTTGAGGTCTATGAGTGCCATAGAGAGCGCCACTTGAGTGCAGTGTTGGGTACAGAATATGACCAGAATTTGGCACCACTTTCACCACAGAATCGACAGAATATTTGATTATTACACACATTTGCGTGAATTCATCTTGGTTATTTTTAATAAATTTGAGCATTGTGAAGTTATAATTAAATTATAAAATACATTTTAATTCAAGTGATCATTTTGTACCTGGACTTTGAACGTTTAATAAGTTCTACTTTAAACCGATAGTTTAGTTTTGTTTGAGATTAGCTAGGTATTGTAATTTATGGCATAGAAAGTTGTTTAACTGTGGCACAACTGGTTTATTTAATAATAGCTTATGTTTTATGGATTTATCACCAGTATTATAATAAAATTCAAACATTTATCTAAACATTTAATTGATAGATAAAAGTAGAAGGGTTTAAATTGTGAAATTACGATAAATTTATGCTATATTTTATTGGAAATTACCTAAGTCACCTTTATAATTTACTATGCTGTATAATTCATATTTATAAAATTGAGAAATATACTTATATGTGACATCTAAACATTTATTTGCAATAATTCAGTTATTGTTAATGCCTAAGTTATATAATAATTTATGATTTTTAATTAATTCATTAAATATATAATTTTTGGTATTTTAATTATAATTTATTTATATGCTATGTATTATATTGATACTGTATTGTGTAACAATTACCTAAAATGTCTAAAAGTACATTTAGCTAATGCATTGTTAAGAAATTAATATATTGAGAAAAATACGGGTTAAATTAATGTAAGAGATTAACAAAATACATAGAAATAAGTTTTAGTTGCATAAAATGCACCTGTACCTGTATTATTAGACTAATATAAGAATATTGTTAAATAGATTAATTTTTACAATTAATAATAAAACTTTTGTATGAATTAAAAGATATTTTATAATAAACTTGAATTAAATATAATCTAATTCATTTAGTCACTAATCATACCAAATACATGTCACTAGAAAATGATAACTTAATATTAATATATTAAATATATTTACTACTACACCAATTTTGTGCAACTTTACAATTTTGTGCAAAAAATAATAAATATATTACTTGTGTCACAATAAGCTTAGCATTTTGACAATTTTCATCTCTATATTACAAGTTTGCCATAAATATAAGGGTTTTTATGTATTAAACCAATAAATCATAAATTATTTCCCATAGCCTCATAAAAAGCGCAAACTTTCCAATGGTTTTTCGCATTCACTTTCGCGCAGCGTTTGAGTAGTAATTACTAAAAATGTTGTGCAAAGCCGTTCTATTCGTGGCACTACTGGGCGCTATCGGCGCCCTACCCACCGACGGGCCGGTCGACTACAGCCACCATAAGATCGTCAAAATCCTACCCAAACGTTACGGCGATTTGCAGCGACTTCATCGACTCAAAGATGTCTTCGACGTAAAGACTTATAACTAATTTGAAACAAACTTTTCAAAACTTTTCAAAACTTTTCAAAACTTTTCAAAACTTTTCAAAACTTTTCAAAACTTTTCAAAACTTTTTAAAACTTTTGCAAACTTTTTTGCTCACAACTAAACTGATCCCGCAATCGGCAGACAAAAGTGGACTTCTGGAACCCGCCGGTGGCCGACATGAGGCCGGTGCTGACGCTGGTGGGCCCGGACAGCGGCTACCAGTTCTTGAGGTCGTTGAACGCCTCCCGCATACCGTACGAAGTGGTGGCCAACAGCTTCCAGAAGGTGATCGACAACGAGAGGGCGGAGATGAGGGCGCACCGGCTGTACAGTAGAGCCGGCTTTGATTACGAGAAGACGTACCATACCTACGATGAGATTGTCGCTGAACTCACATCCATATCCAGTTTCGTTGCCTAATATGTCTGTAAACTTTGCAAACAGTTTTTTCAAACTTTTTGTTTCGTCTCTAAACTCAAGGCCCGAAAGCCAAGTACGCCAGCATTGGTAAGACCTACCAGGGCCGAGACATACCGTCCATCACCATCACCAACACGGGCGGTAGCGGCAAAAAGGCTATATTTCTTGAATGCGGTATTCATTTAGCATTTTATGTCTCATTTTTTTGTGCTAATTATGTGTAATATTGTTAGGAATTCACGCCCGAGAATGGGTGACAACAGCGGCCTGTCTGTGGATCGCCAACGAGTTGATCACCAAATCAGACTACGACACCATTTTGAACAAATACGAGATCATTATAGTACCGACGCTCAACTCGGACGGGTATTATACAAATATAACTTAAATACCATGAGCAGTCTCATTTACTAAACAATTTACTTGGATTATAGTTACGTCTATACGCACACCTCGAACAGGAACTGGCGTAAAACTAGGTCCCAAAACGGCCTGTGCTATGGTGCCGATCCTAATCGAAAGTATATTAATTAACAATGCGCCTAGCTAATTTAATTGAGATTAAGCGCCCACTAAATCGCCCTGACACAGTTGGGACGCCTCGTGGTGCTCGGCCGGTGCGTCCAGTAGCCCGTGCAGTGACACCTACTGCGGAACGGCAGCCTTTTCCGAGATTGAGGCCAAAAATATGGCCAATTTGGTGACGACTAAGCGTGGTAATGTCGCCGCCTATTTCTCGGTGCACAGCTATAGTCAGCTATGGATGTATCCCTGGGGCTATAAAACTGCCAGCCCACCCAACGCCAAACAATTGGTAATATATAGTAGCTTGATCAAAATTAATTAATTAGAAATTTGTTTAAAAAATAGGACGATTTGTCGGCTTTAGGTGTTAATGCTATTAAAGCGGTCAATGGTCTCACATTCACCAAGGGAACTATTGCCAACACTATTTGTATGCTTGCTTAAAAACTTTATTTTAATGCACACTATTAATTCTACATAATTTATTAATTAGATATAGCATCAGGCTCAAGTATTGATTGGGGTGTGTATACATGTCACTTAAAATAATGTATAATTTTACTAAATTTTAATTTCATTGCTAATTAGCTTACGATAAGGAGGGCGTGACCATAGCCTTTGCACTGGAGCTCCGGGATAAGGGTGACTATGGGTTTGTACTGCCGGCCAGTCAGATACTACCCGCCTCTAAGGAGACGTGGGCTGGTATTAAGGCGGTCATCGATGGCCTGCCAGCCTAAGCGACTACTGTATTGATTATAATTTGCTTACAATTGTTGGGATTTATTTGAATAAACAGATTATTATTTAATTATTAAAATTTGTATTTATTTTTTGTCGGTAATTTTGAAAGCTTACGCAATTAAATATTTTTGATATTACAATTTGTTTTTACAAATCAATGTAAATATTTTAGCAGAATTGTTTAACTACTGTATATTAAATTAAAGAATATAAACATAAATAATTATAAACACTATATACACTAAGATTCTTATAATTGATTAACTTATTTATAAAAATATTATTTTGTAAATTATATTATTTGTTACAAAAATATTTTATTACTGTATTTTTACAATTTTCCAGGTAATGTTAAGTGATTCTGTATTATTCTGTAAAACTTATAT